TGATTCTTTGGTTTAACTATTTGTTTCTAAGATTATAAACACTAATTTTTGTGAATTTTATGATGTATAGATATGTTTTAATCAAAATTTATTTAACCTTGGTATTCTTAAAACAAATTAGAATTCCCATTGAGACAAAATTTTTAAATGCTTACATTTAGAAAGAGATGATTTAGGTATTCTTTATTGAACCCCTTATTTAGCTGAACCCCTTATTTAGCCTAGGCCAACTAAATTAAAATATGACTTTTGCAACCAATTTGAAGCCTATATTCAAATTTTATTGTTCACCCTTATTAAGTTTAGCCATTAAACCAACTTAATTTCCTACCCTAAGTGCAATAATGTATAATTGAAAGATTTGATTTCTGTTAAAACATAGAAACAAAAGGGAGAAAAATTTCATTAATACTAGCAAGTGAAGCAAGTATAAAAACAAAGAGGAACACCCCATAAAAGAAGCAATCGATCAAGAATTTAAGTTTGGAGAATTAAACAAGGAAGAAATTATCAAAGTATTATCCTTGCCAAAGTATCTATAATTTTTAGGCTATGAAGACTTCAAGATTAATTCCTTTACAAAGAAAAATTTGTTTTTGATTATAATGAAAATCTTGATTTATTGCATTTTCTGTGCTCTTTGTCTATCTTTTATATCCTTTTTCTTTGTTTAGTAAATTATACCTTTAAAACCCCATCTACAACCGAAATAAAGACCTTTTGATCCTTTTAAATTGTATCGCATTTCATTGTGGAGAAGGATGGACTAATTTGCCTATGGGAATGTTGAAATTTATTATTGTAAACTCTTTAATTAAAGGTTTAAATATTTTTGTGAAAATTCAATCTCTTGTCATAGGCTGAAAATTATTGTGTTGAAATTTTATTAACTTATGTTTACAATTAGGAATGTTGTTTTTCATTGGAAATTGAAAATTTGTTGCTGAATATAATTAGCATGGGAAACACTTGATGTATTTTCACATGGTTTAATGATTTTTTACTTTGAATGTGAATAATTATCCCCAAACCATATTAAAGCTAGCTTGTTTAGTTGTTTAGCTTGTATTTTTCTTTTTTGTTTTTAGTTTTTTTGTTTGCTTGAGGACAAAGAAATGAATTTTTAAGTTTGGAAATTTTGATAAGTGGTATTTTTAGAGTAATTTAATATAGTTTTTTTATTTAGGATTTTAGTAGTTTAATTACTTTTATTATTTTTATTTAGTTTTATTCATATTTTTTGTTCAAAGCTTCCTTGAAACATAATTGCTTAATCTTAAGGATTTGTAGGGAAATTTGTAGGATTTTGACACAGAAAAGTGCAAAATAAGGCAAAACACTCAGGCTCTAGCATGCCCTGCCCATGCCTCACAGCACACCCATGCTAAAAATCAATTGTTGTTTTGAGTTGAAAACGCCAACCAATCCCTACCACTTGCATGTGCCCACCTCAGATATTTTCCTGACGTACAAATTAAGATCTAATCCTATTTAGGTAGATGGAAGAGTCCTAATTGAGAAGAAATCTAAAACCTAAACAGTTTCCTATCTCCAAAAAGATTTCTTACTTAATAAAGATTCTATTTCCTAAACGAAGTCGGATTTTCTCCTAGAAAATCTATATAAAGAGAGGAGTCATTCATTATATATTCGATCTCTTGTTCTATTATTTTCTACATAGTTCTCTTCTCTCTCTAAGGCTTCAAGCATTCAAGTTGGTGTCAAAATTCAAGAAAGCTGTTCAAGCCTATCGTTGACTAGTTTTTATTTCTAAACACTCTTTTTGTTTGTTATTCGTTATGGAATCATTTACAAGTTTAATTGAGTTTTATTTAATTTAATTACTATGTTAAACTAAAATTCTCATACTAGGAGATCTTTGATGTAGCTTAATTTTGATTCCAATTTTATAATATTAGATTTGTTTTTCTTTGTTTATGATTATAATTTATTATTGAACTTTTAATGCTTCTAAGCAGAGTTTCTCCTTTGGATTGTATTTCATATTACTATCGGGAGAGGGTTTTTGATATGAAAAAAGGTAATAAATTACATGAAAATTAATAACTTTGATGCGGGGAAGCTACTATGGTTTGACTCAATGGGGGTTTTTATAAAGTTAATGCCTTAAGTTAATGAATTCACAAAACAAACCATAAAATTTTAATTGATTTTAATCAAACCATAAAATTTAATGATTTAATTCATGTTTGATTGCGCTATTGGAAGATAGGTAATTAGACCGGGTTAAAATAGCTAACAATACATCGGGAGCTTGTTAGTGATTTTAGAGTTGTTTCTCATACATAAACAATTAAAATTGATTATCAAACTAATAGAATAAATTGGATAGAATTAAGTGAAGTCAAAATTCCTAGTAGCTTTAAATTCTTGATTTCTTTTTGTCAAATATTGTTGCTTGATTTTTTTTTTGTTCTCTTTTATTTATTTAATTTATTTTTTTTAAAATAACCCCCTTATTGCCGTTTAAATACTAATAGGTTAACATAATTTTGATACTTGGTATACAATCCCTATTGATACGATACTCTGCTCATTCTATATTACTTGTTGCGATTTCGTACACTTGCGAAAATCACTGTCACTATACTAAATATTTTAAGTTTAGTTATATGTGATATTAATTTATCATTTTAAAATTTTAATTATGTCTTTTTAGTATGTATATATGAAAATATGGTGATTATTCCTTATTAAATTTAAAATTTACATCTTATAAAATACTATAATATGTTAGATTCATATTATGGTTGAGAAATTGGGAACTACCGAATTCCAAACCGAATTTCGGTGGAATAGTTGGAATAAAATTTTAAATTCTTAAAAATATTTGGAATGGAATGGAATGTAATTTTAAATTACAAAATATTTTGGAACGGAATTGAAATGAGAGTTATTTTATTCCATATCGTCCGAATTATACCCCTAATAAGTGGATGAAATTAAATATATACAAATAAAATATTATTGAGTTTCTGCCTCATAATTCAAGCCATTAATGATTCAATCCTATCAATTTCTTTTCCATAAAGTTATATATAATATGCTAAAACAATTTATGTACAATCCAGTCAAAAAAACATTAATGAAAAAATTGAATAGAAATTAATTTTTATAGTATATATATATTTTCTTTTCTTCAAAAAGAAAGAGTTTTTGAGCAAGAGGAAAATTGATAAAATCAATCTCAATATCACATGAAGTAGAAAGTTCAAGGGCTTAGTTGATAATCCCAATTTTTCGTTTGGCACAAAAGTATCGTGCTAAAACAATTTATTTACAATCTAGTCAAGAAAACATTAATAAAAAAAATTGAATAGAAATTAATTTTTATAATATATATATATATATTATATATATATATTATATTATTATATATATATATATATATATATATATATATCGTTCTTTTCTTCAAAAAGAAAAGAGTTTCCTTCTTTTCTTCAAAAAGAAAGAGTTTTCCGGTAAGAGTAAAACTGATAAGAGCAATCTCAATATCACATAAAGTAAAAAGTTTATGAGCTTTCTTGATAATCCCGATTTTTTGTTTGGCAAAACAACGTGCTAAAAAAAAAAAATATGTACAATCCAGTCAAAAAAACATTAATAAAAAATTGAATAGAATATTAATTTTTATAGTATATATTTTTTTTCTTTAAAAAGAAAGAGTTTTCGAGCAAGAAAAAAAAATTGATAACAGCAGTCTCAATATCACATGAAGTAAAAAGTTCATGGGCTTTCTTGATAATCCTGATTGTTCGCTTCGCAAAAGTAATGCTAAAATAATTTATGTACAATCAAATCAAAAAACCATTAATAAAAAAATTGAATCGAAATTAATTTTTATAGCGTATATATTTTCTTTTCTTCAAAGTGAAAGAATTTTCTAGGAAGAATAAATTTACTAAGAGCAATCTCAAAATCACATGAAGTAAAAAGTTTAAGGGCTTTCTTGATAATTTTAATTTTTCGTTTGGCAAAAGTAAGGTGCTAAAACAATTTATGTACAATCCAGTAAAAAAAAAAAAAAAAAATTGAATCGATATTAATTCTTGTAGTATATGCGTTTTTTTTTCTTTAAAAAGAAAGAGTTTTTAGCAGGAGAAAAATTGATAAGAATATGTTTCAATATAACATGAAGTTGAAAGTTAATGCCTTTCTTGATAATCCCAATTTTTCGTTTGGCAAAAGTAATATGTTTTCTTGATAATCCCAATTTTTGTAAATTGGATTCTCAATTTTCTTAAGCTATGTTTTATCTGATAAGCTTAATAAACTAGTAGGTTGGAATATTTTTGCGAGACCTAATATCAAATGACTCCTTAGGTGATCATAACCCTCCTTTATTGCCGAAGGAGAACAGAGGACTGAAAATAGTACACATGAAGGAGATTATTTCTCCAGATAAAAGTAATTAAAATCAAAATTTCTTACAAAGACAAAAGTTTTGCAACGCAAAGATGTACAAATAGATAATAATAATTATATTCATAATTTTGTACCATTGTAATCATGTCTATTAAATTGATGGGATGTAACTTCAAATAAATTTTTAATTAAGTTAAAATAAAAAAACACAAAAATATAAGCAAATTAAGCAAACGCAATTAAAGGATTAAAGAACAAAGCAAAAGAATTATGAGAAGCAAACGCAATCAAAGGATTAAAAAACAAAGCTATAAGCAAACGCAATTAAAGGATTAAAGAACAAAGCAAAAAAAAATTATGAGAAGCAAACGCAATTAAAGGATTAAAGAACAAAATTATGAGAAGCAAACGCAATTAAAGGATTAAAGAACAAAGCAAAAAAAAATTATGAGAAGCAAACGCAATTAAAGGATTAAAAAACAAAGCAAAAAATATATTAGAATGTCAGACAACCATGCGACCAACCTTCAAAGCAAGGCAATGAAGGAACGATCCTAATTATGAGAAGCAAACGCAATTAAAGGATTAAAAAACAAAGCAAAAAAATTATGAGCCTGTCAGACAACCATGCGACCAACCTTCAAAGCTAGGTAATGAAGGAACGATCCTTTACAGCTACGTTAGACCCAAGGGTCCAACCAAACCGTCAATCACGCTCTGATCGCATGGTCCTTATTCATCCACCAGGTTTGGGTTCCTGTCTCCTTTGTGCTAAAGGATACAGATGTACGATCCTATAGAACAGATCCTGTTCAAGTAAGGTCGTGACCAGTGGAACTCTTCAGCTTCCTTATATATTTTTTAGCAAGCTTGTTCAAATTCGATGTGGGACAAAAGAAAGTGTTTCAAACTTGAAGGAAACTATAAACTCCAAATTAAATTTTATCCCTATAAAATTATAATATTTGCAGATCTATCATTTATAATGTTTTTATTTCTAATACAACGTTAAGTTAAATTAAACTGAACGTAGAGGAGGAGAAAAACACACAAAAGCCTGAAAGTATAATTAACCCAAGTTAAAAACCTAAAAGCATCAATAATTTAATTCTTGAAATTTTTTTAGTCGACTTTAATTTCTAACTTCGCGATTGCTTGTGGGAAGTGATAGGAAATATTTTATTCTATTCAGTTTATGACAATAGTGTCTAAATCTCACACACACACGTATATGGACGAAGCCATGATTTTCATTTAGGGGATGGAATACAATATTTGATTTGTCCTTTTACCAGGAATTTGGTTAGAAAACAAGTTGTAACATCTGCATGACTTTATTTTGGTGTAATTTAATTAATTAATTTTAAAATAATTACTTTTCGAGTTTGGATATATAAAATTAAAGTATATTTTATAATAAAATTCATGCTATTTATTTGTAATGTTGGATTTATAATTTTTTATTATGAATTCTACAAGACATGTTAAAAAAAATTAATTGCATTTAAAAATTCTATCAATATATAAAACAGACCTCCAATAAATATCTTGAAAATATAATTATATATAATTATTGAAGGTTAATATACAAATATAAAATAAATATATTATAAATAAAATTTACGTTGGTATGATTTAATCAATTATTACATTAATTCTAAACTTTAAAATAATTATTTTTTGAATTTGGATGTATAAAACTAAACCATATTTTATAATGAAATTTTAGACTATTTATTTACAATGTTATATTTATAATTGTTTATTATGAATTCTATAAAAATGTTATAAATTAATTATATTTAAAAATTCTATTAACAGATAATACAAATCCAAAGATATACTACGGTTGCCGAAGCCACAAAAATAATTCCAACTCTTAATAATCAAATTATTTATAGATATGGCAATAATTTAAAATTTTAAGTCAACATTTTAATTGAAACAACTCAAATTTTTATTTTCAAAGATTTTCCAATTAAATTTAATAAACCGACAGCTTGAAAATTTATTTTAATATTTTAATGCGAACATGAAAATTTATTTAATATTTTAATGCGAACACTGTGAGAAACCGAACCTAAAAACCGATTGAAAAAAGTCGAAAACCAATCGAAAATCAAAGATTTGGGGTCGAAGAATCGAACCAGAATCGAACCGGTTCGACCCAACCCATCTAGAAAATTCCCTTTCCTTTTTTTTTCCCAGCGCTGCACCTCTCTACTCCTCACCATCACAGCAGCGCCTCCTCCTCCTCATTCTCTCTTTCTTCTTCTTTCTTTCTTCTTTCTTTCTTTTCTTTTCCTTTTCTTCTTCCTCTCTTCTTCTTTCTTGCTTGTGACTGCGCTGTGGGGGCGTCGACTCAAGCCAGCAACAGCAGAGGCGCGATTCCACAGCAGTCCGCACCGCCTCCCATCGCGCACAGCACGCCTCGCCGCTCCTTCCGCGCGCCCACAGCCAGCTGCTCCACTGCTAGCACCGCTTCAATCCTCAGCAGATCAGCCAAGCGCCACAGCTCCTCGAGTTTCATTGCGCCACCATCCTTGCTGTCACGTAGATCGACGCACACTTAGCATCGCAGTACCCGATAGCGCGTAGCTCCGATCAGCACGCGTAAGCCTTCCGATCTAGCAAATTCAACAAAATTATACTTGGGGTATAGAGCAATTCTGCTAATTCTTTCAAGAATTTATTTTAGTAATTGGGTATAATTTAAACTTAGTAATTTTAGTTAATTAAAATTTAATTTAGTAATCTTGATTAGTTAATTTAAAATTTAGCAAATCTGATTAGTTGAATGTAAGTTAGTTAAAATTAATTCAAAATGGTTATTGATTAATTAACATGAAGTAATTATTGATTAATAAAAACAATAGTTAGTTAAAATTAAATTCAGTATGAAATAATTTATTGAGGAATTTTGATAATAATAGTATGAATGGAATGAAATGAGGAATTGAGAATTTAAGGTAATGTTGATATTGATATTCGGATGGAGGATGAGAAAATTGGATTGATTGATTGCTCAATGGATGGGCTGTGTGATTTGGAGTTATTAGATAAAATTGTTGATATTTTAAACAGGTGGAAAGTTCAATTTTTAGGGGAGATGCTGTCGAAATTTCAAAATAAATGAATTTCGGTAGACAAAATAAAATTATTATGAAATTTAATTAATTATTTTAAAGAGTAGATTATTGATAGAAATTTAAATTAGGTTAAGAATAGTAGTGTGGATGAAATTTAAATATTTTATCTGATATTATTTCTTTTTCCGCATGTCATTTACTTGCTTAGATCGCTCGGGTCCATCTTAGTGCTCCTCCCGGATAGAATCAAACTAGAGCTTCGCCTCCACCACAGTGAGTACATTAATTAAATATGCATAATCAACACTGCATTTTGCAATAACAATTACATTTTTATATATTTACATATTGTATTTTTTCATAATAATATTATGTATGATCACTTAATTATAATTGTGCATAATATGTGCATTTGGATGAAATGAGTGTATTATGATAAATGAACTTGTTTGATTATTTGTGCTGTGTATTTATACTGTGCTTCCTGTTTGTTTGTGGAGTATGAGGATGAAAGTGGAGTTCACCATGGGTTTGTCATTGAGGAACGGTCGATTAAATAAGGATCCTTGAAAATGAACTGAATGAAAAGTGGACGTCAGGCGGGTCAAATGGGATCGCGCCCCCGTTGTGCACCCTGATGAACTGACTGAAATGATGTTGATGATATGGAAAAGAAAAGAGGAATGTAAAAATAAAATATTGAGAGGACTGGTCAAGTGAGGATTAGACCGGTCGGCCAGATATGGGGATTGGCTCCCCGGAGTGCACCCATTGTTTGAGAGGATGGGCTGTTTGTGAGAGAGAGAGGCTCGTCGGGGATTTAGGTTTGACGCCACTGGATAATTTCCACGTGATGTATTATTTGAAGGTATATTGTTGTGGGGGCTGATATGAGACATATTGAGTGACTTTGTTGATGGTTCATTCAGTTATACTAGGGTTGATTTTGCTTGCCTGTATTGTTAGGTGTGTATTCATTATTATTTATTCACTGAGTGCAAAACTCACCCCCTTCTCTCCAAACCTCTCAGAGTACTTAGGAAGCAGCTGATTCGATTGAAAGCTCTGCAATCTTCTCCCGCAGAGTTATAAATGTTAAACTTTTTATATTTTTGTTATTTTAATTTTGGTTGTATTAAGTTTACTCTTTTATCAGTTATTATTTTGAACTCCGCAGTTATAGGGTTGATGTATTTTAAATTGGGCCTATTGTTGAGCACTCGCTTATAAATTATTATTGTGTAATTAAACTGTAGGTAAACTTAGTAAGCCCTTATTGTGATTTATGAGTTATTGTGAATCAGGCCCTGGTTAAATTTCATGTTATTATTTGATATTGGCCAGAATGATTGAAAATATTTTATAAAAACTTATATCTCACAGTCATTATTGGGGCTTACTCGTTTGTTGAAATTAGGAGAATCATGTAACAAGGATTGATAATTTAGGCTTACCTACGGGCCTCGGGGCCCTTAAGCCTTACCTAGCCTAGTGCGGTCTGGGCCCACGGAAAACCGGGTCGTGACAAAGGTGGTATCAGAGCCAAAGTTCATAAGTCTAGATGTAAACTGCGGTAATTCCTGTATCATGTCTTGAACATAGTCTTCTTGCTTTCCCTCTTTCAGCGTTGTTCGCAACCAGATTAGAGTTAAGTTGTTTAATAAGTAAAATTTTGTATCCTTTCTTTAGGAGATGTGAATTTTAGTTACTGATGCTTAAGGGGATGGTCTTAAACAAAAACCCTTTATGGAATTAAATAATATTCATATATAATTTAAAGTATGTAAGAAGATAAGTTATAAAGGATTAATGAGTTGAGGTTTAGTTGATGAAAGTGTGCTATTTTATTTAATACGTTTGAATGATGAATACATATTTAAGAATGCTAATGTGTGTATAAGTGTGCTTGCGGAAATTGAGAATGAGTTTTGCTATAATTTAACAAGAGAACTAAAATGTCGGAATTCGAGGACTCAGAAATCTATAAGTTCTATTTAATTAGAGTATTGAATGAGTATATGAATTTGATGAAATTTACATGATGTTGGTTAGTGGAATTTCTTATATTTATTGAGATAAATATTTTTCTGGATGGAATGGATATACATGATTTTTATAAGGTTTGAATATTGAAGGATTTGGTGTGATTTGGTATAACAATTGGTGGCGAGTATTTTTCATAAAGAATAATATTAGTGGAATTATTATATGGTAGAGTGTATTGTTGTATTCATCAACTATTTTTTAGGTGTGTGAATATAAGGAATAATATAAATTATTGTGGTTATAAGAAAAGTAAATTGTGATTCTTAGCAAAAGATAAATTACTCTAATCTTTATGTATGATCATAGGGCTTAGCTTGAGATGACAATGAATGTGAATAAATGTAACTTGTTGGTGGAAAGTGCATACATAAGGACTTTCTATTACTTAGTGCATATTTGTAAGTTGTTTTATTGGTAAAGAAGGAAAGTTATATTAATGTCCTTAGTAGAACATGAAGGTAATTAGAGTATTTTCATTCATTAGTAAGTTAGCTAGGTTTTAATTTACTATTTATTTGGGATATTGAAAATTTGTGTAAGAGTAAACAAGTAGATTTGGAATAATTTTAGCAAATTTAGTGAGAAGAATACACGCAAGTATTTAAAGATTGAAAATATAGAGTATAAGATTAGCGGATGTGTTAACAAGACGATCTAAGAGTAGATCTTAACTATACTTGACGGCTAACTT